CCGGCATGTGTGACCAGTGTATGAGCCCTACCGACCTCTCGATCGAAAAGAGAGAGGGCGCTCTCCCTCTCCACCCCGGCGAAAACATAGCTTCTGCTAGCGAATTGTGAGCATTGCAGCAGGGCATGCAAAGTAGTGAAAGTTTAGAGTTTGCAAAATAAAGCAGGTGCAGGTATAGCTTGAAAGATTGGCGTGGAAAGTGGGGACTTGCTTACTGAGAACTGAAGAACTGTCACAATGGCCAAGAGCACTTTCAAGCAGGAGCACCAACTAGGTATGTATTAATGATTTTAGTCTTGACTTGCTTTCTGGAGCTGTTTCAGACACAAAATGCGTGACAGCATGTTTGCCTTCACCTCTTCGCCAGGGTTGTTCAGGAACTTTCTGTCAAGAGCTTTGCTGAAAGCTGTCTGCTCGTTCTTTGCAGACAAAAGGCAGGCTGAGGCTGCCAGAATCCGGGAGAAGTACCCCGACAGAATACCCGTGAGTTTCATTGAGCGTCACATCTTTCAACCATTAGAACCGTATAGTCAACCGCTCTGAGTATTTTTATTTGTGCTTGGACAATGCCTCTATGACTCTAGTCGTTTTACTCAGTGCAGAGTCTCACAACCTGGAACAAGACTCTTGCTGTCTGGTTATTTCGTGGTTGTCTTCGCAGTCAGAGGGGATTGCAAAACAATGCCGGTCAATTGTGTGACGTAAACAAATATCTGCTTTGGCCTTTTCGTAGCCTGGGGTTGTTCCCATATTGTCTTCCGGCGTGCACAACTCAATTTCCAGCCAATATCTCCTGTCTATATGCTTTTCAGGTTATCGTGGAGAAGGCCGAGAAGAGTGACATCCCAGACATTGACAAGAAGAAGTGAGCACAGGCGGTCTGCCTTTGATTGGATGCTGCTTGTTGGCAAGGCCTCGCTAGCATCTGTTTTCTGGGTGTCAGGTTGCCATGTTGGCACCTGCAAACCATTGCAGGTAGCTCGTTCCTATTTTGCATTAGGGTTTGTTTTAGCCTAGGGTTGTGTCTAGCGTAAGTGCTGGATAGCAATAGTAGGTTGCAATCTTGAACAAACTCAGTGTGCCGGTGCATCAAGAGATGGCAGAACTACCGGTATTTCACGGGCTCAAAGCTTTTTTTCTGTTGCATTGTTGACCATTAGCCTGACTCTGGTTGGGTAGTCTGAGAAGCTGACTCGATTCTCCTTGAAAGGTATTTGGTACCTGCTGACCTGACCGTGGGTCAGTTTGTGTACGTCATCCGGAAGAGGATCAAGCTGAGCTCTGAGAAGGCTATCTTCATCTTCGTGGACAACGTTCTTCCACCAACAGGTAAACTGCATTTGGAAAGGGGAGAGCTGAACGTCTGTTGTGTACGAAGACCTCTTAATTGTCGACGTTTGCTGGGAGGTTTGTGGCTCCTACTCTGAGCAAACCAGGCATTGCCATGGCTGATGAACTGTGCTTTTCTCTACATTCTAAGGAGGTTTGCAACAGCTTTGCAGAAGGCTTGTTCTGATCTGTTTTTTAATCTGTCACGTCTTATCCAAGTATGTGTGCTTGCAGCGGCCTTGATGTCCTCCATCTACGAGGAACATAAGGACGAGGACGGTTTCTTGTATATAACCTACAGTGGTGAGAACACGTTTGGGGGTTGCTAAATTGGGGAGGGTCAAGGCTGCAGATTTGGACTGTGAGGCTATCTTTTGTGCTCAACGTCTGAGAGCGTCAATCAGTGCAAGAGGCCCTGATTTGGACCCAAAAAAGCGTTACATTTTAGAGATTACTCAGGAGCATTTTGCAACTGAGCAACACGCCAGGCCCGGAAGACAGTTGTGCTATTCTCCAGTGTAAATATGTGGGGTAAGGGGTTATGTAACAACTTGTCACACCGAAGCTTGCAACAGCATATGGTAGACAGGTTCCTGTATTGCTCGGTTATTTGGCTTAGCTAGGGAGATCCGAGAAAGAGTAGGATGTACATTACACGTGTACAAATTGTAACTCATCAGACCTCCTACCGAAATCTTTTCATACTTACTCAGTGCCGCGTGACATTCCTATGCTTCTGGATTCTAGCTTCGCTATCTTCAGGTGCTGCAGTAATCATCAGTTGTTGCGTGACGGAGGGCTCTACCCGTCATTGTTGTATTTCACCTAGTGTCTATACATCAAAGGAATAGTTTGAATAGGCCGCGCACCGAGAGGACTTAAGCATGTCAGTATTCTCAACGTACTCGCGCGCTCAGTCGGACTCGCGGTTGATATCCATACGTATATGATAGTCGGATCTCATGCACGGCCATTCATTTGTTGTTAGCCAATGTACTGGGGATCTAGATAGCTCGAAACATATGGACATACCAACTTACGGCCGGCGAGCTACCTGTCCGGCCATTGCAGCTACCGTCTCGCTAGATATATCATTGGACCGTAGCTCACACTGGCACATGCTATAAATGATCGCGATTATCACGTGCAGCTATATTATGCATGCGAGCTCGGGGCGCCCACCGGCGCAGGCCGGAGCGATCCCAGTTGCGCATCATGGTTTTAAATTCACATACAATTGCAGCTCAATCATGCATGCAGGCCGTCGCTTTGGAAATCAAATCATTGCATGAGACCGGACTACCATGATTGCTCAGGCTATAATTCAACATGTCGGCCAACTCGACAGAAATGGTCAGGACAGTAAGACCTGCAGCCAGTCAATCACCTGTAGCTTGATTCGAGTCCAAGTCGCTGTCTTTAGTCCCGCCTTTTGATAACAGAGCACGTCGAACGGCTGCCCTTTTCAACATGTCTATTTTGCCCGTTTTGCCCCTCGACGCCGCCAGCATTTTCAGCTTCTCCGAGCGTGCCAGTATCTCCGCCTGCGCTTCTTGGCTTGGTCGTCTCTCCTGGTGGTTGTTGGCGGGCGCATCTGATGACGGCCGCCCGCTCTGTTCTGCAGGTGGCTGCCCGGCTGGGGCGGGTGCCTCCTTTGCCGCGTCTTCCTGCGCGGCGCGCACCAGGGGCTCCAGGCGCTGCCGCATGTGCTCATCCCGCGCCTCGTCGCCGCTCAGCGCCTCCCATTCGTAATGGGGCACCTGCGGCCACCCAACAGGCAGCGCCTCAGCGGCTCAGTCCAACCGCAAAGGCCAGATCCACAACAAAAACTTACAGTTTGTCTGGCTATTGCGAGCCAGCATACCCCACTGCAAAAATGCGAATCAATCTGGTCTTTGCGATGGTCTCATCAAAGCCAGTCAGCTTGCTTTGCAACGAACAGGTCGTCGCGCAGGGGCGGCATCTCCAACAAACCGCACTGCTCCCCTCCGTCACGGCCCATCCTCGCCCGCCTCACCGTGATGAGGCGCCAACCGCGCCTGCGCAGCAGGCGGTGCTTGAGGCGCGTGGGCCCGAGCGGGGTGCGGCGCGCATTGGCGGCGAAGTGGTGCGGCCCGTCCACCTCGACGGCGATGCGCTGCGCGGGCAGCGCAATGTCGAGCACGTGGTCGCCGTCCGCGTACTCCTCGTGCGCCGCCACGCCCAGCCGCTCCAAGGACGCGTGCACGTCGCGCTGCAGCGCCGACGTCACCACCTGGGCCCCCTGGTTCATCTTGGCCCAATACAGCTGCACGCAGGGCGGGCACACGCCCAGGATCAGCTCGAGGGCGGGTTGATCGGCCGTTCCCAATTGGCAGGCAGACGGTTGCCTAAATCGATGGCTCTCTTGCTTTCACAATAACGTTCAGGTGCATGCCAGCGCATGCAATGCAAGCCAAAGCCGTTGCTGGGGAAACGTTGGGACACCTCAGAAGCGGTCCTTGTACGTTGCTTCCGAAGCGAGTTCTTAATAGAGCTCAAGTGCGGGCAACTCGGACAGTCTCGGGACTCGAGCGGCCGCCTGTGTTGCAGCGAGCTGAGACCCGGCGAACGAGTCTCTCAAGGCGCGGGCCCCACACCTTGGCGCGGTACTTAGCGTCGCCCTGCTGCCAGAGGTCTTCCAGGAGAGCGGCCACGTCGCCCGGCGGGTGGGGCGGCGCAATGGTGGGCGCCTCGAGGCGCAGCGCGAGCTCGAGCTGGTGCAGCTTGGCGGCCTCGTGCGCGAGGAAGGGGCCGCGGTACAGCGCGGGCCGCATGGCAGCGAACAGGGCGGGGGGGTAGCAGCCCAGCACCATGAACCCCCACGCAATGTTCACCAGCGACGCGCGCTTGAACTCAGCACCGGTTCGCAATCGGCGGAGTACCTGCACCCGAAGTTCGATGAGAATCGTCAGGTGGCGGCAAGCGAAAAACACGAGCTGGGGTGTTTGCGGAAAACTGACATTTGCAGGGAGGCCAGCCCGTGAATTTCCACAGCTACTGCTGATCTGAGGGTGATCTGAGTGGACTAGATTACACACTGGCGTTGACTTGTGGCTTTGTGCGAGCCTGAGAAAGGGCGAAGGGAAGCGAGTCCGGAAGATCGCAGGTTTCAACAGGAAGGCGAAACGAACGCGTCCACTCATCATAGCGCGGCTGACCTCGCGTGCGAGCGTGGGCAGGAAGTCGGGCGGCCCGGCGGCCCCGAAGGAGGCATACGCGAAGAGCACGCTCGCCAGGTGCGTGTCCTCGAACTCGGCCACGCGCACGCACACGGAGGCCGCCATGGCGTCCAGGAACGCGGGGTCGAAGTAGCGCAGCATGGCCAGGCCCCTGCACGCCGCACACGCGTCACAAGTGAGGAGAGCAGACGGTATAGTGCTCATCAGTGAAAGGCAATAAGCAGGCAAGTCTGTCAGGAGAACGGCGTACACCTCTGGCGAAACGTTCGACCTGCTCGATTGGATCGTTGTACTTCAAACCGGCCAGCACAAGATCGAGCGAGGGAGAGACCCAGCCTGCTAGCAGGCAAGAAAGAGTACGAGCACGGAACGGCATGATAAGGCCTCTTCCATGAAGTTAGGCCGAAGGCTTGCCCACCAGAGCAGGTTGCTGGCCTCGAGTGGCGTCAGAGCAGCGACCGTGGGCGTGTGGGCCGCAAGGAGCGTGCGCAGCAGGTCCTCGTCGTAGTAGCGGGCGGCGCCGAACGACCTGCACCGCAAAACCGCAACATACGGCCGTTGATTGGGCACCGCTCGAGAGAAAGGCGGCGTATCGCAGGTGACGGGTTCAATGAGGAGCCACGAGTCGTCATTGCGTGCAGCCAGTCAAGATTCTTAGGCACATGCAATGGCGCTAAGCAGCAAATGTAGGATCATTACGCAGATGACGTGGGACAGGGTCTGCGGAGAGCGGGTGGAACGTGCCGTACCAGATGAGGGCCGCTAAGTTCTCGGGAGCGAAGTCGTGCACGACGGCCTTGCTGCGCTCCGCCAAGGCGGCCATCAGAGGCGAATAGTCGCGCCCCGTCTTGGCGAAGGCCCTGCAAGAGCGCACCGCCGAGATGTTAGGGCGGGCAGGGATATCAGGCGCAGGCAGAACTCGGGGCCGCTTTTCGAGGTGGGGCCCCACCACGAAACGCCTGGCAGCTGCTCTTCATTATGGAGACTTGTGAGCTGGCCAAACGATAGCAGCTGTCCAATAAAGTTATAGCATTCGGGAACTTTCTCTCTACGCTTTGTTCACTAGCGAAGAAGGAAAGGCTCGACACTGGCAGTGGTGTTCTGTCTCGTCTAAGGCCGCTGGCTCGACGCCGCTCACCTTGCAGTGAAGGAGATGTCGACGGGGGGGTACTCATGAACACGAGGCGCAATGGCGGCCGCAATGCGGTCGAAGCAGTCTTCGTCAGCCACGCCCACCTCCGTCCAGGACCTGCACACAGCACCGCATTCAGAGCCGGCTAACCCAGGGCCACCCAACCAGCTCTGTCACAACTTAATACGCTGCCAATCCTGAGCGGACGACTGGGCTGCAGTGCCCCGCGCCAGTACGAGACGCTAGCGTCACGTTTCCAGACACTCGCAAGCCCCGAACAGGATGCTGTCAATCTTGAATGCGGATGGCCTGAATGCACAAGCCTTCAACGTGCAAACAGCACAGCCCCTCTTCCCCTTGATTCACGTATGCCTCGCTTGCTGGCGACGCTCGTTCTTTGCACTGCTTTCTTCGTTGTGATCGATATCGACCATCTCGTCAGCGGGTATCTGTGGCGGCTCACCCGAGCAGCAGGCTGAGGCTCTGCGGGGTGAGCGTGTCTAGGCGGCGCAGCGCTTCTCCCTGGAGGGCAGCCCAGAGCCCCACGTCTGTGGACTGCGGACTCGCCTTGGCAAACGCCCTGCGGATCAGCAGCAAGACCGCAATCATGGCGACGAGGCACAGTTGTTCAGGCCCTCGACGCTGTTTGTCAAAAGACGCAGCTTCGATGGGAACCAAACACTATTCCGCATCCGCCATACGTCATCCTCACCAGCTCCAGCGCCAGGAATTCAGAACTCACAGGGCAGCATAACAAGCCCAGAAGTGGCCCCTATTTGGAATTGCAACTGGCGGTGGGACTTACCAGGCCAGCTGGGCGATCTGCCAGCCATCGTAGTCAGCTACACACGGCTCGACGAGTTCCGCAACACGCTGAAACATGGCCGGAGCGGACGTGCCGCAGCGAGCGAAACCCGAGACCTGCAATTCAAAGGCGCAGGCGAGATGTTGTGCAGTCCATAAGGCCTCCACGGTGATGCTAATTGGCAACACTGTCAGCCACTTGTGGAGCTTGGTCACTGTGCCTTTGCGTTCTCCAAATCTTTTTCAAAGGCGCCCATGTATCATCCGTTCTTCTTAGAATCCGAATCTTGCAGGATTTCTAGAGATGACGGACTGAGGCCTGATCCATCCCGCATGGGAACCGGTTACTGAGGTCAACTTGACAAGGTTATTTCCACAGCGATTGCGACAGTGCGGGCCAGCGTCTGCTCACGAGTGCCACCAGCTCCTGGGGTTTGGGGGGGCGCTCCAGGGGCAGTTGTACGGCAGCCTCCGCAATTGCCTCAAAGAAGCTGGGACCGCCAATCTGGAGATGGGCCTCCGCCCTGCACGAGAATGAAAAGCTCTGTCTGGACACCTTGAAGAGACATCAAAAAGGAGAGTCGTAAGAACTACATGAGAACAAGTGGCGATTGGCTGACATCTGTGGACCCACATTGGGGCGCTCATTCCGAGCATCAGAAAGTGTCCAGATGAAGATTTTGGTCCTTGGCGCGCTGACTTTGACAGGTAGACATGCCAGCTGGCAGCTGGAGGGGGCCCCTCACCAGGCCAGGTTGGCGAGGCTGCGCCAGCCACAGGCGAGGATCTTGGAGTGCGCCAACCGAGCGACCCGGCGCATCCGGGGGTCGCTGCGGAGGGCTGCTTTCTGGGACGGCCGCAGGCCCTTGCTCAACCGTGCTAATGTATAAAAGGCCGTCACAGCATTGACGGTGGTGAAAGTGGGGCCAAGCGTATCCACAACTCTGAAAACCTCGTCAGTGCGTGTACATTGAGACAACAGGGAATTGCACTCCCTCTCCTTGTTTGGTCTACTTTTCAGCTTGGGGGCAGGGGGCACCGGAGAGTGGCCCACAGTCTTGGGTTTGACAAACTTAGTGTTGTCTGTTTTTGGCCTCTCTTCGGTGGTGGTGCGCCTTTTGTGAAAGGTGCTCGATTGTTTTGCATGGGCGCTGTCAGCTAGCCCAGGAGCAGCCACATTTGTTGAGAGCATCAACTTATCTTCGATGCTTCCAGACATGGCGAAACATTGGGGGCCTGGATTGCTCCTCAGGTGCTTTCTCTTCCTCCAGTGATATCGACCACAGCCACCTGCGGCCCAACCAGGGGGGCAGCACAACCCCAGACCTGGAGATGCATTCAGAATCTTGAAGGCTGTTTGCGTCCCACAGTCTCCCAAATGCACCTCTTGAAGCAGCGCCATGTTGCACCTCCGTGTAACGCCCTTGGGCTGCATTAGCTCATTTGCTACAGGCTCCAATGGCTAGCGCACTTTCCCACTGCACTAGGCAACGTTTGGAGACCACTTGTCCCCCATAGCTGCGGCTTAGCTAAGCTAAAGCGGGCTCTGGCATTGTGGGCGCCCCCTTTCCCTGCATTACAATCTGCAAAAGCTAAACCCCAGCCCTAGAACTTCAAAAGCGAAACCCTAAACCCCACCACAGTGAAGCAAAAAGGTCAAAGAACGAAGTTGTAAAAGTGTTCACATGCTCCTTTTACGCGAGGGTGCGTCTGACTGCGTCAGCATCTTTGAGCCAATTTGGCACCCCGGGCACTCTGCTTTCCTCGGTGACGATCAACTAAGTTTTGGTTTAAGGGTCAGGTAGCCGCACGGCGCGGGGCGGCAGCGAGGTGATTTTTCAGGGTTTGCTCGATGACGGGTTAAATCTTCCAAGCTGACACGGTATACTGAGCTTGGGTCTGGGGCTTCAGTGCTGTTGTTTGTTCAGACCCCGGTTTGGTACTTGACTTGAGAAAGGTTACTGTTCGGTCATGTAGGAAGGCTTGTTGCTAGTTAGACTCTGCCCGGTAGATAGAAGCATAGGCCCTAGGGTCGCACGGTGCTTTTGTGAGGAATGTTGGATGACGCGCTACCGCACGGGCGACGACGGGATCATCGGCAATCTGGCGGCCGACAGTGCCGGCCTTGGTAACACGCGGCTGTTAACACTTTTACAAAGTTCTTTGTACTACTTGCCACAGTGAAGTTGAGCTCCTGAATCCTGATCGACGTGCAAAAATGCCAAAATGCGGAATGTTGATGCAAAGGGAAAAGTCGTGGACGCCTCAGCAGGGTCGGTCTCTGTTACTTGATTCATGGCGTCCTGTTCTAGACACCTGTCCTCTGCCTCAATCGTTTCATCTTCCGGAAGGTTTCCAGCAAAAAGCACGTGTGTGGCTAGCCCATGCGCTTTGAGCAATGTCCCAGTGTGGGGTCCTTTCCTAGTAGACAGTTGTACCAGAGGTCCTACAGCAGTAACAAGAAAACCTGGATGGAGGAGGGAAAGCTGGAACAGACCAGTTCTTCCCACTACACCTACGAAAACTTTCTTCGCTACAGCACATCGATCTCGGAGTGGTGGTAGTCTCCTTCAGTGCAATGCTGCCTCTGTGGAAATTGCAGAGAGCAGCAATGATCAAGGTGCGTTCCTGATGACCCTCTTCACAATCAGAATTGTTTGAACCGCCCAGTAAGTGCGAGAAGTGGGCAACTTGGTGGTGTTGGCAGTGAGCCTGCACAATATTTCCAGCTTGGATGCTGGTGTTTCCCCTGTGCTTAACACTCATTATGATTGCTTTGCAAATGGGGCCCCATCAAAAGGCGTCCCGAATTGTCATGTGTGAAGGAAACACTGGGGGCTTTCGCCGTCACCAACATCAACAGTCGGAGACTTTCTCACAACCAATCACGTAAAAGCCCCCGGAAGTCTGACCAGAACAGAAAACCCATCAAAGCTGTTTTGGGAAGTGACATGGGACCAAGTCGGTTTGGCGCCACCAAGAGTATATGCCATACTGGACTGTAAATGTATCGCAAATACTTGAGAAAAAGGAGAGAACAAATCCTTGAGCCTGTGCGCTTGTTTTCACCTTCACGAAGAATCTACCCCCACTCCCTGCAGGCGCCTCAGAGCCTGAGGCAGCCATACAGAGTATTCCTGAGTTGCGCGAGCGCTTCCGCTGCCCCGGTGTGGAGTTCCAGGAGGTGTCTGGCCTGCGGGTGGCCGTGCTCAAGCTGGCGGAGGGCAGCAGCGTGAGGGTCCTGCTGGAGGGGGCGCGCGTCATCGCGTGGCGGGCGGTCATGTACCACAAGGGCAAGGAGGACCTCATCTACAGCAAGCTTAACAGGCAAGCGCACCAGCTGCCTGCTTCTTTCCCGCTGGACAAATTCAAGTCGAAATTCGCTCAGGATAGCTTCTGATGGTTGTGGCATCTTGAGGCTGGTGCGGAACACTTTGAGACAAAAACCTGTTGAAGCGGGATGGTTTAGCTGGCAGGATTCACGAGCATGGAGGCAGGTAAGTTAAAAGAGGTCTCTGACGCATTGAACATAGTGTTGACATGCGATTGATTGGGGGTCTCTGTTGCAGGACCCGCGCAGAGGGCCAGGGCTGGCTGCGGGGCGGCATTCCAGTCAGCTTTCCAGAGCCGGCAGAAGGCGCAGCTGGGATTCAAAGCAGTAACTCGCTGGCCAGCCTGGTGCGCGAGATGCCGTGGCGGGTGGTCAGCACGTGGGCGGACGGGGACGCCTTTGCGGAGGTGGGTCTGCTTCCTCTTGAGGCCCATGTGGCCTATGGACACGTCCTATGGTCCACTGGATGAAGTACGACAGCCTCGCGGAAGCGGTGCGTGATTGTACGTTTTGATGAAGGCCGTCTCTAATTGCGACCCGTGTGGAGACCTCTGCGAGGCCGTCAAAGGAAGTTCCAAAGCGCCTCCTTCTTGATGATCCGGGATGGCCTTGTGGTTAACTTGCCATTTCTGAAGGAACGAAAGTTCGGAGGCCGGCACTTGACAGTCTTCAACGCCCGTTTTGCTGTCGTTGTGGCATTCGATGGGCATGTGCACCAGGAATGAGCTTTGTCTGGTACTCCTTTCCCCTCCACAGATCGTGCTGAGCCTGGAGGACACCCCCGCGACGCGCGCGCTGTGGCCGCACCGCTTCGCTCTGCGCTACTCGGTGCACCAGCTGCCGGACCGCCTCGTGTGCGTCCTGCGCTGCCACAATCGCGACGCGCGGCCCTTCTCGTTTGGCGCCTCCCTCGATTCGCATCTTGAGGTGGTGGATCCTGCGGGCGCGACGGTCATGGGGCTTGAGGGGGCCAAGTACGTGACACGGACAAAACTGAACCGGAACTGGAAGGTACGCTAATTAAGCTTGTTGCAATTCTTCAAAAAGCTCATGTTTCACTTTGCAGCTCCGCTGCTTGGTAGCTGCCAGGGAAGCCTGGGTCTGTCTTGGCCTACTGTCGCTGCGGCAGGCGGAGGTGTCAGTCCCTGGTGGCGTCCGTCAGCGAGCCTGAAGCTCGTGCGAAAATGCTGCGGGCAGTTGGGGCCTGCTAAGGCACTCCCGCCACTCCGCGATTTCAGAAATTCGCGCGCGTCTTTATTGGCTCACTTGGTTTCCAGAACTTTTCGCTACTGCTTCGCTTCGCTCCCTATGCACGACAACGGGCACCAGTCGCAGGCAAAAGATTGTTGCCGAACACCGTGAGAATATGCGCCCATCTCTTATTTGTGGGCCCAATTCTGATGTGCAGGCTAAGGGGGCGGAGAAGCAGCAAGACGTGCCATTAGGGAAGAGCACAGAGCGGATATACTGCAAACCTCAAGCTGCTGTCAGCCTCTTCGACCGAGTGAGGACGCAACCCTTCTTCATTTTGAGAAGCTGTGCAGCTGTTGAATCGTCATTGGCTAGTGTTGCTTCTGTGCTCAATGAGATGGGACGCAGGTTTCGTCGGGACGGTTGTGAGGACTCTCTTTGGCATGTTGTTCGAATCCAGCCGATCCTTGTGAACAGTGACAACGATTGGTCATATTGGACACTTGCAGGGGGGCTATCGAACGATGACTCTGGTCAAGGAAGGATTTGAGGACGTTGTTCTTGTCGATTCGGGGTCATCTACGCAAGAGTCGAGCTTCCTCTGTCTTGGTGCCGGGAACCACCGAAAGATAACGCTGGCGCCCGGTGAGAGCTGGGAAGGTAGACAAACGATCCGATTAGAAAAATGAACACGTGTGCATGCTCGTATGCGCCGGGCCGATGATTCGGCCAATCGAAGCCCGTATCACTAGATCTCCCATTTTATCCGGTTCGGTTTCCTGACCAAAAAGTCATGCATGGAATCCTGCAATTAAACTTGAAAAGGAGGAGATTCAAATTTGTTTGGGGTTCAGCTGGCTGTGACCAGTGTTTTCGATCTGACCTTCATGGTCACTACGTCTACAGCATAATGCAGGCCCGGTCACATGCCGCAGTCTATGTATACCATCACGTACAGCTTACCATGTGAACGGTCGTCGAGTCGCGCATAATTAACCTTAAGAGTCCAAACGACCGCGGCCGTTACCGCTATATACACTAACTGTGCCATGCAACATACGTGGTCTGCGAGTCGCACATGTGACGCATATAATCACAATGACATGCTTAAAGAGGGCGTCGGCGGATGCATCCGCATGACGTCAGCCGCGTACGCAGCAAATTTGTATCGCCCGGCAGTTTTGCATGCGTGACTTCGGAAACCAAAACCACTGTACGTAACCGAGACCGCGCACTCGATGTGCGCGGCGAGCGGAAAAAGGAGAAAAGTTGGCTCGACCGAGTTTCGATTGCTCACTTTTACGGAGAAAGTCGCGAGCGCGCTTGCCAAAGGTGCTAGAACATTTCACTAGCTCGAGCCCAAGTTGGATCCAACATTTCGCCGGTTCGGACGGTATATCAAGTCCAACGTGCTCTTTAAGCACATGCTCGATCCGACCGATCATATGGAGTCCGGATCCGACACTCATTCATGCGGGCACGATACTTTCCATCTAGCTATATAGCGGCTAATCGGAGCTGCACATGCCATTGAGAACTCAATAAGCGTGCTATCGTGCACCACTGCAAATGATCTACGAGCTATACATCGTCATCCAACTTAGTAAGGCGCCAAGTAACTTGATTATGCCATGCAGATTGGCCAAGTATGTTTATCTAGTGAACCTCGTGCATGACGGTGAAGGACTGACAAAAAGAACGTCGTTTAAGACGAAAAAGACGACGGTTGCACAAGCGGTGCATGCTTATTCCGCGTGAAGATAATGATACAAATGGCGTCGGCATGCACTGACTTGCTGCAATTCACAACGGCATCAAGACTGCCCATCTGGCACCACCCCTCCGCAAAACCCATTCCAAAAATACCGGAGCTCAGACCATAGACAGCGCCAATCCGCTGCCTCCAGCACCACCTCCTCTTATTCCAGTCGCCTTTGCGCCCCTATGCGCCTCCGCCCTTGGGGGAGTTCTTCCCAGACCGAGGGCTGGCTGACCCCGGCTTACTCCGGCCGCCAGGCTGCGCTTTGGTTGACAATGGAGGGAAGTCCTCCTCGCTGAACTGTTGGCTGCTGTAGCACACAGAAGGGCGGAGCGTTATAGCACCAATGGTATCGAGGATCTGGGCTCTTCGACCGACGACCCCGCCGATGCATCCTTCAGCACGTCACACAGGACTCACACTCAGTCCTCTGCAGAGCCCTGTCTCTTACCAGTTCCAATCGAATCATACTGACTACACCGATCGCAGGCAGTCGTTTAAAAGCTCCCGCTTACCTCTCCTCCGCCTCCGTGCCTTCCTCTGGCCCCGCTGCGTTTCCGCCCCCCGCCTGCTGCTCCAGCCCCGCAGCGCTGCCGCCCGACGCTTGCCGCTCCAGCTCCCGGCCAGCTTCTTCCACGTCCCTGCCACCCGGCTGCACATCCGCCCCTCGCTGCGGCTGAGAGGGGCGTTCCCAGCCCTCCCCTCTCCGTTGCCCCCCTTCTGCGCCTGCCTCCTTTTCAAGGAGCCCCGGAAGGGGATCCCTCTCCTCGGACTCCCGGATCGATCTTAACTTTGGTGTCGCCGAGGTGTCCTCCTGGATGGCCCCTGCCGGGACCCCTGGCACACTCCGCGGCCGCTCGTCAGTTGCGCCCGTGCTCGGCTGCTGCGGGGGGGTGGGATAGCCTTTCGGTGCTCCCTGGCCGAAGGCCTCAGACGGAGCTCCTCGGCGGACTCCCACGAGCCAGTGGGCCGGGTTGAAACCAGCCATGGGTGCCTCCAGGCGGGGCGACACGCTCGTCCCCGGGAAGTACCCACCGGCCACTTGCCAGTCTGGCCTCTCTGAGCCATCACGCCCCCCCCGGCCCTGTTCCCGAATGTCAAGCCCGTCTTTAGGAGAGTACTGGTGTAAGCGGAAGTCAGCGGAAGCGCCCACTCGGATGGGCACGCGAGCGATGCGCGGGGACTGCATGCGCGCGTCGAGGTAGCGCGCGGACGGGCCGCGCGGGTCCAGGTGCAGGCCCTCCGAGGAGTAGCTGTCAGCGCTGCGCACGCGTGGGATGCCAGGGCCCTGTGGCAAACAAGAAACGGGATGAGCAGGCAGGAATCAACCTGAAGCTTGCTTTCCCGTCGACCGCTTCCAAAATCAGCACAGAGGTAGGACAGGAAGCAGGTGACCTGGCACGAACAACTTGTTGCCTACGCGCGAAAACGGGTACGAAAGCGTTTACAGGAACTGTCGCCACGCACCACGCCCCCCCGCGCAAACAGGTCAGCGGGCTGCCGCGCATCGCCCTCCAGGAAATGCACCCCAACGCCGTGTCCCTGCGGCATGTACAATCGCCCGGGGTCCGAGTACACCCCCGCGCTGCGCCCCTCGCCCCCCCGCATCTGGCGGAACGCCTCCTCTCCGTGCCGCTGCAGGGTGAGGGATCCCCCGCTGCGCTGGCCCTTCCCGCTGAACTTGTGCTGCTGCTGGGGGGGCTGCTGCCAGTGCGGTGTCGGGCCCCCTTGCGGGGACCGAAGCGTGGGGCCGTATATGTGGGGGGCATGAGCGCCGGGGTGGCTGTTGGAGCGCGGCTGGCCCTTCTGCTGCGGGGCAGAACCCGAGAAGGAGTTCCCGTACTGCCCCTGAGGTGGCGCGCCGGGCGGTGCCTGCGGCGGGGGCAACGGCGGCTGCCATTTTTGGCCGCGGTCGACTTGCTGCTGGCAGTGCCGCCCGAACTCGAGGCTGCGCAGGTGGGCCTCCAGGTCCCCCTCCAGAAGGTCCTCGTCCGAGGCGGACTCGTCGTCCGCACTTCTGCTCGGGTCCTGGCTCTCCGTTGCTGCGCCAAGGGAGGGCTGCGCAGCGCCGCTGGCCGTCCCCACACCCCGCCCACTCATGCTGGGGTTCAACGAGAGGCCTCCCGCAGCCTCCCAGGAAAAGGCCGGTCCATACGGAATGCCGACGTGGGGGATGTAAAAGGCGGGCGGGTACCCTGGCGGGGCACTGACCGAGCCTTGCTGAGGGCGCGGCCGTGCGTGCGCTGCTTCTCCAGCCGCAGGGGACTGCGCCCGTTGCAACCAGTCATCCTCTTGGCTCCATTGCCTAGCTTCGCCCTCACCACGTCCAGCGTCTCGCGCATCGGGTCTCGACGGCCGGGCCTGCTCGTGCGCCGCTTCTCCGTTGGCCTCCCCCGGGGTAAACTCTCTTCCCTCCTGCCGTTGCTCTCGGCGAAAATAATAAGAAGGGAAGTTGGGCATGGAACCCGGGGGAAGATGCATCGGCCCCGGCAGGCCCGCTTCGAGGCTCGGGCCATTCGGCCAATACAACAGCTGGTCAGGCAAGGAGCCCACTGAGACCATGCCGCGAGGGGAGCGGTCCGCCCCCGGAGCGGTACCCATCTCTGCAAATGCGGCGGCAGGGACCGCCTGACGGGCCTGGAAGTCGATGCTGCCCTCGCTGTACTGCCTCCGGTGGCCTGCGCCCCGCCCGTTGCCAGCCCCTGCTGCGGCCACCCCCCCTCGTCTGCTTCTCTCTCCTTCAAGCAGGCTCTCCTTGCTCTCGACCGGGCCAGCCAAAGCCCTCTCCTCGACTTGTGGCTTCGATACTCCAGCCCTGTCTTCACTCGCCGCTTCCGTGCTCTTATGCGTGCTTCCTGACTGCCCTTCCCTTGTTGCGTTCGCGCTCGAATCCCGTACAGCGGCCTGGCCCTCCTCTCCCCCCTTAGCCACCCACGCCTGCCGAACTGAGCCCCCTTTGCTTCCCCGCTCCATGCTCCCCTTCCGTTCCAGCGTTGCACCACCCTGCGCTGCTGCGATCCCGTTTGCAAGCGCTCCGCTCCCGCACGGGCTGCTCACAGCAGTGCGCCTATCCACCGACCGCTCCCGTGATGGCCCTCTGCCGCTCTCTTCGTGCTTTCGCCGACTGCTTGGCGACATCGCCTCTGTCTGATGCTCTCCCAACCCCGTAGTTCCTTCGCCGGCCCGCTCTCCCCGCACCTGTTGATCCCGCTCACTGCTTCTTCCTCGCTCCTCTCGGCCCTGCCCCTCTCCGGCCCCCCCTTGGCGCCCAAAGCTCCTCTGCTCCTGCCGCCCACTGCGCGGGCTGAACGACCCCTGTGGCGCATAACCCCCATACTGCTGCGCTGCATACTGCAGGCCCGAGCTACTGGCCCCATACCCATTCGCTAGTAGCTGCTGCAAATGGAAATGCGGGTCGGCAAACTGGCCCCAGGACAGCATCCCACTTGGCAGCGCCAGCCCCGGCACCCCTGCCTCTGCGGCCCGCAGCAGCAACTCCTCTTGCTCCCCCCACTGGTACCCTCCGCCCGCGCTGCCCGGAACCGCTCCGCTTCTGCTCTGTTCCCCTTCGTACCCTCGTGCCCTTTCTCCGTTCCCCCGTCCCTCGTCCCCATGTCGCACTCCCGCCTGGTCCGCTTGTATGCGTCGCTCGCTTGTCCTCGCTGCCTGGTGCCCCTCTGCCCCGCTGCCGCTGGCTGGCTCTGGCAGCTGGAGGGGAGGCGGCAGAGGCACGCCCCCCGGCAGCCCCTCCGCCGGGCTGCCACCCACAAACCCTGCATACGGGGGCAGCCACCCGGCAGCCGGCGATGAAGACACCTGCTGGAAAGTGTTACGAGGGTTCCGGCCTCCGAGAGCCCCCGGGGGAGTTCGAGCAAGCGGGAAGAGGGGGGGGACCTGGAAACCGAGCGGGTTACTGCGACCCGGGGGCTGGGCGGCCCCTCCAGGTTGACGATAGGGATAGGAATGTCCCCCACCAGCCGCGGCAGGGAGCCTGGCTGCGCGCCGCCGCTACCGGCAGGGCTTCGCTCCAGGGGGGTGCCCGCAGCTACGGGGAGCCCCTCCACGATATGAGGACCCCCTAGCGCACTCGCTGCCTGCAGCAGCCAGTAGGGCAGGCCGGTGGCGGGCTCGGAGGGCGAACTGGGCACGCGGAGGGCGTCGGGGGAAGGGAAGAAGGCGCCGGTGCCGGATACCCTGGGGAGGCCGCCGAAGAACGACAATGGCACGCCGTCCACCACCGCACCCGACGCACCTGCCTCGAAATGCTGATTAGGGCCTGCAACCGAAGGGTAAGGCGCGCCCGCTCGGGGGCTGCTGCTCGGAGTGCTTTGCGCGCTACCACCCGCATGCCGGCTGCCTGATTCTTGCGATCGGTCTCTTTGTGCCTGCCGCTGGCGAGAACTGCCCCGCTCTTCAAGTCTCCCACTTCGGATGCCGGCTTCTACCCCAAGTGCGGCACGCCCGCTGACAACTTCGGCCCTCGGTACATCCTGCGGACGGACGCCCCCCCTCACGTGCTCTCCTGGAAGTTCCGTATCTTCCCCCCCATTCTGATATCGCAAACCGCGGCTACCCTCCTTTTCGATTTTCTCCCCCCGCGCCCCCCCGTGAGAGCTCCCGTTCTCCATGAGCCGCCCCGAGCCGCCCGCCTGTACCTCACGTGCCACCGCCCTGGCCGCCTCCGCCAGCTCCCTACTGCTGAACGGCGCCCCTACCTCCGGGTACATCGCCCCTCTCTCGTTCCGCCCCCCGGCAACATCCGCGTCCCCACCCCCAAACATCGACCCGCCAACGTACCCATTGGCGTACGCAGCCTGCTGTGCTGCCAGGGGGCTGGAAGGTCCCCTCTGATTGTGCCCCCTACGGCGGGGCTCTCCCACGTCTGGTCGCAAGCCCGTAGCGTGGCGGCGCCACGTGTTAGCAAAGAAGCGGTCCAGGTCTGGGAGAAGGCGCTCTGCAGGCCCTGCCAAAATGCCCCCAAGCGTAGCCGCGCCCTTCTTGAGGGCGGTGCGGATGCGGCTCAGATTGCCTGGATGACACAGGCAGGAGGGACTGTAAACACCTCGGACCATGCATCGAATTGAACAAAGCAGCTCAGCCTTAGGATGGTGACAACTTTGCTGTAGAGCTTTGGCTGCAACGACGAGTTGTGTTAGCATACCAGTCAAGCCTGGCTACTACACATAAGGCTGAGGTCACATGTGCAATCACAAGTGCCCGTCTAGCAAACGTAAAGGAAAGCCTTTCGTATCGAGTCCCAAGAACTCTGTGTGGTACCTGAGAAAATCAAGCCCGGAATCCGCAGAAACTGCCATGTCGCAGGTGCACTAACAAAATGAAGCCTGGCAGTGGTTTCGCGAGGACCTTTCCCAATCGATATCGAAGAAGAAACAGTCAACATGGCGAGACAACCGTCTCAGCCTCCTATACGACCATTTGAAGGTGGCGTCCGAATGTGATGCGTACCTTTGCTGACACTGCGCCCGAGGTTGTTGTAGTAGAGCAGTGGGTCCTGGATGTTCATGGCCTTGGCCACAAAGGGGCGACCCCCGGCCTCGGCGCCCTCCCCCTCCGGAATCACAGCAAACCGCTCGACACACCGCGTCAGAAACTCCTCGCTCAGGAGGAGGGACCCACCCAACTCAGCAACAGGGGCCTCCGCTGTACCAAGTGAGAAATACGACTCACAGTTGGAACAAGATGAGATAAGGCCCAAGCGGACCCCAGAGCCTGCTGCAACAGGCAGACTGGACAACTCTATTTTTGGACTCATAAGTCACTAAACATTGCAGGTGGCTTCGCAATCATGTAGGTCGTAGAGGGGGCCTCACCCTTAAGGGACGGCAGCGAGGAGAGAGGGATGATGCCCCGCAAGCTGAGACAGTGCTTGTCCCAGTCGAAACTGCTGAAGAAGCTCAGGAATCTGTACAAGACCTGCATAGGAACAGAAAAGGACAACTTCAGTGCTTCTAGCCCCCCGCTTGAATCGATAAAGAAACGCGACAGAAGATACACAGAACCAGATCTGCTTGACAAGCCTGTGCGAAAGGTGACACCGATACTGAGGGCTTTGTGTCTCACGTCGAGAGGCCCGCTGAGTGAGGCGTGGAACACTTGGAACGTGTAAAGTACAAGTGTCTCGAGGGCGTATGTGGAGATGAGGCCATGGTGTGCGCCGAGGATGCGGCTCTCGTAGTAGCACCACGCCTTGACCAGGATCACACTGCGCTTAAAAAGGTGCTGCCGCGCAATCTCACGGTCCACCTGCAGGACGGAAAAGGAAAACAATCAGCACCCAGGTACTTATGAAAGATGACAACAGAGTCTGACAACACGCTAACCCTGCGAGCGCTGATCGATTTTCACAAAGCATATCACAAGTTGGTCTCCTTGTCTACGAACCACGTACTTTGTACCCTTTCTTCTGACGATCTTAGCTTTGGCCCCAAACCATGGCACGTAGGCTTGCAAATATGTAAGAAAAGGGGAAGCGGGGCTCACAACTTCCAGGAAGCAGAGTGTGCAGATGCCAGAGAGCTGGTTGAACGAGATGTCCACCACAATGTTCTCAATCAGGCACTTGATCAGCTTCACCTGCACAAAGCACGTGGGAGACCATCCGTCTCAGTACGCTAGACATGAGATGCGCTTGCTAGAACAATCTTTGTCTTCAGCCGACGTTACTTGATGCACGCTAGCTAAAGTCAGCCGAAGAAGAGTTAGTCGTCAATGCAGAAGCTCTCCGTTGAGCCTTTCTTCAATTGCCCCCAAAGTATGCCTAGACTCCTGCTTTTCAGTCCCTCTGGCAAAGTGTGCTTAGAGCTTCCAACTGCGGGTCTCACCTCTGCCTGGATGAACTGCACCTCACGCACGCGGAACTCTGCCTGCTGCTTCTTCTCCTCGCGGTCCAGGGCGGCGCGCACCTCGTTGGCCCACTGGCTGCGGAACGGCTGGCCTGACGCAAACGCCACCACGTCAATGTCGCCGTCCGGCAAGTATGTCTTAAGCGGGACACTCCCAAACGTGCTCACCTGCAACGAAAATGCCCCGAGTCAGGGTTGCCCGGTTTCAGTGGCATGGATGAGGTGAAGCCCGCAACTTCCTACTGCGACTTACATACAGGAGAATTTGGTGGGGGAAGATGGCAGTAATCTGCAGCCGAGTCCGCTAACATGAGTTCCATTCTTCAAAAACAACTCTGGCGACACCCAAGCCCCACCACGGCGGCATGGGGCAAGGTAAGGCCTATGTCTGCACACCATCGCAACCCCCACAGCGCTCGCAAGAGACGGCTATCCTAAAGTCTGGCGCCTCACTGCGGCGGGGAAGCAACTGTTGATGAGGTTGCAAACGTAGTTCACAATGGCCCGCCGCCGCGTATCCGCCGGCTTCTTGGGTGACACCCTGGACAGCAGCTCATCAATCCGCTGATGCGCGTCCGCCAGGCTCTCCCGATCCCCCGCTGTGCTCGCCCCCTGACTCTCCTCTATTCTCAAGGCAGCCGCAGCCCCATTGGAAAGCACCTCTGCCGGGGCCTCATGCGCTCTGACAGGCACATCGCCCGCAGCTTTATCTTTGCCCGTTGACTTTCGTGACTCATGCGGAGCCGTCTCAGGATGATGCTTCTCAGGACTTGGCGGGCCCCTCGCTTGAACATCGTCTTCCGGTCGCAGCTGCTGTCCATCTTTGAAGGATGCTGTGTGCTCTACTGCCAGCCCAGCACCCGAGTCATGACCTTGCACTGCATCAAGACGCACTTGCAGCACTGCATCTGCTCCTTTCCTCAGACTCCTGGCGGGCGAAACCACCTCCTTCACTTTCCCCTCTGAGCCGCCCCTCCCCGACGCCAACGCCGACGCGGGGCTTGTAGCTGCTGTGCTGCTGGCAGCCGCGAGTTGACCGCTCGGATCGCGACATTCCGATTCCCCCGTCTTTTCTGCAACTGAGGTGGCAACTTGAGCGCCACTCTTGGCCGTTGCCCGGTCAGCGGCCCTGTCTTCCAATGAGACACTCTCACTACTGGCGCTCTGCTTCAGGGTTGCCCTGGGGGCCCTATCCCCTCCGTCAACAGAAGTGGCCGCTGCCTTTCTTTGGCCCCCTGCCTTCCCACTCGGCCCTGGCGCCACCACTTGCACGATCCTCCCCTCGACCTTCCCCTCGATCTTCTCCGCCAGGTCCCCCTCAGGCTTCCGGCGCACTTTTAGCACTTGCACACGGGGCACCTTTGCAGCCTCCAAGCCATTAATGTACACGACCGGGGGCGACGAGTTGCTAGGTTTCTTGGAGGGTCCGCCAGGCTGGACCTCCGCTCTGCTGCTCATCCTCCCCGGGGCTGCTTCTCTGAGCCCACCCAAGGGGGGGCAAACTCACTGGCGGGGCAGCCTGCCACGCATGCAACTGCATCAATCGGCTCAGAAACAACTTCCAATAATAGCGACCTGAGATCACTTGCAACGTGCACATGGTCACTGCAATGAAGGCACTCGATTCCCATCCATGGCGCACCGGCTTAATTGTAGTCATGCCGCAACTCATAAGCAGAGCAGGCGGAAGGAGGTGCACTTTGCAGCAGAGACATAGATGGACAGAACTCACCAAGGCAACACACGACCCTACGCTACGGTCATTAACACAATCAACAGTGAGGATCTTTGATGCTTGGGCATATTTGCTTGGTCCACGATAAGGTGCCATGTGCTGGCAATGCAAGTTGGTGAAGCCCAAAAAGCATGCAATCTATATTCTTATAGCTTCTAGCACCAGCATCAAGAACTTTCAAGCAATGCAGACCACTACAAATCAAGCCACTGCTAGGACATTAGGGCGGCATCTCTACACTCCAACTTTTATACTTTTGGCCAGCAAAACCTTACCTTTTCAAAGTCTGTTTTGGCTTACAAAACGCTGCCTCAGCAAGTGCGTCTCAAGGCAGCGATAGCGTTACAACAGCTTGCTATGCGAGGCCTGAAACGCAAGGAACTGGAACTGGTTTCTTTCAGAGCTCTTACAAGCGGCAGAAAGCTGCCTTAGTGCCAGCACGATGAAGTCCCGCCAGCTTCTTAGTGTTTGCAAAGCCTGACCTGCCCCTCGTCCAGTGCCCTCTCAGGTCCCAACAGTACCAGGCTCTCAACCCTGTTGACAAACCCAATTGTCGAGAAAGATGCCACAAGTGCGTCTTTGCCCAGGCTGCAAGCAACAGCAGAGCTCCCCAGCGATGGCAGCATTCTGCTGTTCAACGTGTCCCTTGAACCTTCCAAGTTCTCGAAGTGGTCATGACAACAGCCTGCCGCAGATCTACTCCGAGTCCGAGTCCTAGGGGCGATTCGCACCCGGGCAATTTTGCAGATCAGATTGGACCTCTTATCTGATCTGAAAGTTTCTCAGATCAAATAAGCCAATCTGATCTGCGCATAACCCGGGTAGCTTTCAGATAAGCGAAACTGCGCCGTTTTCCAGATCAGATAAGCACAAGTTGGATTGGAAGCCAGGAAAAGCTTCGAATTTGCACTTCGACGATAAAAGTGTCGACTGTACTGGGGTACGCACGATGTACACAGGGTGTACTGAGAAGGTACACAATTTTGCCTTGGCTGAGTACGAAAATGTACTCTAAAATGGGCTTAAAGGACCCCCCGCCTATCCTTTCAGCTCTACAGGCAAAGTCGTCTCGTCGTTTTGCTTTCTCAGATTCGACTTGAATCTGCAGAGCAATCTGGCCTCATATGCGAACGTTGCGCAAATTGAACCCGCGAATCTGCGCATATGTGCGAATGCTCCAACTTTCAGATCCACCAATCTGCGCTTATATGCGAATGAATTTCAGATTCCTTATCTGGAAAGTTGGCCTTATCTGCCTGGGTGCGAATCGAACCCTAGTCCACGACTGCACTGGTTCCACTGGTTTCAGGAGTCCAACTCCGAGTCAGAGGAGACGACCTTCTTTCCAGCTGCAGAGTTTAAATTAGGGTTTGCTCATCTGCACTTCAAATTCTCGTCTTTCAAGCGCTGGTTACAGGACGTAGGAGCTCGACGCAGCTGTGTACAACAAGAGCCAGATCCAGCTCTTCTGGGCAAGCAGGTTTGGTGTGGAGAACCTTTTGCTGAGGAATTGAAAAGGAAGCATCGAGTATACCAATTGTGCAGGAGCAATAGCTCTCCTCATCATTCTTTGTCTTTCTTCACCTTGACGCAAGATCCTGCTGACCAGATTTGGGGTGAGACAAGAAGGGCTGGGAAGATGTCGGAGGGGCAAGCCACTCTCCTTCTTCGGAAGCAGCTGAAGGGTGAGGCACCGAACCACTGCCGTTTGCATCTTGGTAGTCCTTAAAGCGCAACCGATTTATCTTGTTTCACTTTCTGGGGCTTCACTTTGCATAGCTCCAATGTTGTGTGATTGAAGTGTTTGTGATCACAGGGTTCCTACCTTCTGCATCTTGGTAATGGTGAGGGCACGCAACAAGGTCTCCAAGCCGCTCAGGAGCAATCTACATTTCTTCGCTTCCGTGCTTCTTAGCGTGGTTGTCTGCTGCCTTACCTAGCTTGTCCACTGGCCTTCAGTTCTCACCACTGTTTCGCGCTGCCTGATGCAGAGTTGATGAGAAACCCTGTTGATGGGTTCTCGGCAGGGCTGGTGGATGATTCAAACGTGTTTGAATGGGCCATCACAATCATCGGTACGCTCCCGGAAGTCTGAGGAACCTGTTGCTTTAACCTGTTGCTTTCATCATATTCACAGCCTATGGTAGACCCCTGACTGATGGTTCTGTTCCTGCAAGAATCTAATTAGGGTCCCTGGTGTTTGATTACGTCATAGACCATTGGTTATCCAAGCCCTCAACTTTGACTGGCATGTCTAAATCGCTGATTACATGTTGTTCTGAGGATGGAGCTAAATATATGACTTTGCCCCTGTGCAGGTCCTCCGGACACTCTGTACGAAGGAGGGTGAGCTGCTGCCCTTGTTGGAATTGCTGAAGGACGTCACTGTGCTGCATTCTTCATCTCGGTTCTTTCGCACCAGAGGCAGTGCTCCTTTCCTGTCCTCTGTGAGCCAATTGAGTCAGTGACCAGGTTTTTCCCCATGGTTGACATCCTGTCTGATTATCCCTTTCTGCAGGTTTTTCAATGCCATAATGAGCTTCCCCCACAACTATCCAAACAACCCTCCTTCTGTGCGGTTCACATCAGAGATGTGGCACCCCAACGGTACGTCTGCTGATCTCGAGCCCGGAAAAGATACTGCATAGCTTCTTCCAACCAATTTCCGTGTCCTTGCCATCTTGCAAGCTTATCAAGCTGCTCCCAGCAAGTCGTTCTGCAGAGTCGCCTGAGTTGATTCAACCCTGGTGATTTGCAGTGTACCCTGATGGTCGAGTCTGCATCTCCATCCTTCACGCGCCTGGGGACGATCCGAACGGGTATGAGCTGGCATCAGAAAGGTGGTCTCCTGTTCATACGGTAAGTACCTGTATGCAGGTTAACTTGTTTTTGTGCCCAACCTAGTCCTCTGGTGTGATTTCGATTGCCGTTTGGGGCGTGCTCTGCTGGCAAGTCCCAGTCATCATTACTTGTGAAGTTGAGCCATCCATACGGTGAGTACCCATACACAGGTGGACTGCGTGCTACTCCATTCCTGGTTGCCTAGACGACTTATCACTGTTCTGGGCATGCGTCGGACCAGCCGCAATGCTTCGGAAGCTTACTCAGTGCCTCAAATGGTTTGGACTTTGCGGAGTGCAGCATGTTTATAGCTCTGGTTGGCTATGCAAAGCGTTGGCAGTATCTCATCAGATGGGGTCGTCCACATGGTGCAGGTGGAGACCATTCTTGTGAGCATCATCTCAATGCTCTCCGGCCCCAACGACGAGTCGCCCGCGAACATTGATGCCGCAGTAAGTGCCCCCTGCGAGGCCCTCGTTAGGCCAATTCCATGGATGTTTGTGTGGCCCCCTGACTTTTCAGAGTTTTTGGCGTCCCGCCACGATCGGGCAGCATGCGGCATGATGGTTCTTTTAGCCGTACTGGAGAGACGAGTGAAGGCTCTGACGAGTTCAGGCTCTGAAGCCTCACAAGTCAAACAGTGTATGTCGTTCACCGGGCCAGGTAGCTTATGTCAAGAGGTACTGTTTATGCCAGTGCTGATTGTGCGACTTTGATATCAACCCGTCTTCATCATTGTGATTGTGCAGAAAGAATGGCGAGATAGCAAGGATCTGTTCAAAAAGAAAGTTGGTCGGATCGTGAGGAAATCGCAAGAGAACTTCTGACGGGGATGCCTGGCAACCATTGGTTGCTGGCGGGATGTCAGCTCCAGCAGGTGCTCACATTCTGTAGCTTTACTGTTCCATAGCTCGCAAGAATCCATAGCTTGTCAAGTTGACCATGCGGTCACCTGTTGCTCATGCCAAATGAGACTTGTAGAGTCAGATCGTTGTTAAGTTTCTATAGGATAGCAAACAAGGCTAGCTTCCGGTTGGCCACAGGGAAGAAACACTCCTCAGGAAATGAACACTCCTCATTCGAGAGCCAACTTGGTGAACCTGTGGTCATGAGTGGTCTATGCACGACCTCTCAATGAGATCTGGTTTCAGATCCTTGGTGCTTGGGACGCTGCCTACATGTGCGCTGTCAGTGCAACTCACACATAGTACGGTAGTGAAGCATGCTGGCATTGAACAAGGTTCCAACCATGTAGTTTGGACGGTCCGTGTTCGCAGCTGCGGGTCATGTGCAATTGAACAGCTAGCTCCGTGCTGCATGTTAGGAGTCAAAATAGACGCATCAGCGGGTGTCATCATTGGGTGATCCGATTGTGTATAATGCATGCAAAAACTGTCGCCGGATCGAGGCAATTACTGCAATACATCCATCGGACCAAGTCCAGAGGCCGCACGTCCGGGACGACTATGTACCGTCACAGGATTCTATAGCTACGTTCAAATTAACGTACTATAGAATCAGCTTATAGCCATGACGGCAGGCACATGCCATGGCAACATAGCGTGTCAATTATGCATGCTTTCGGATTGCAGTACGACGTCGACATGCGAGTTGGGGTCTTCATCGGATCATGTGCGCGTTGCACTGGCATTATTGAGCGCGCGGCCCGGCCCGGGGCCCTTCAATATAGACAGCTAGGAAATTATTGAATGAGCTAGGCCGTCGCGCCGGAGCTTCCGAAGTTCCAGCGCATGAACTTACAGTCCGCGTCGTAGTAACTAGAAGGGACTCAATTCAAGCGGTGAAGATGTGTCACATGGATAAGATTTTGTGTCGTGAGACAACTCGATACCGACACACGTCAGATCTTGATTGTTTCGTTCAAAACGTGCCCGGCCACCTCTATATACCTGTCACTGCGCATGCCAGCTTGCTTTACATTGGCAAATTATCCCTGCTCTCACGACTGCTCAGCGTTGGTCATCCTGGGCGCGGCCGCGCATCAGTTGCGAGCTTGCGACTAGGTTTCCGAACTCAGCAAGCACAACTGACGGCCTGTCTATCATCCGAATTCGACGTTCTCCAAAAACTTTACATCCTGAACGACCTACAACGCTTCAGGTCGAAGAAGGTACATCAGAATCCCCCCCGCCACAGCCACGTTCAACGACTCCATGTCCCCCGCCATTGGGATGGCGACAGGTTGGCACACTATTCGGGCCTGGCCCGACAACCCGTTGCTCTCATTTCCGAGGACTAGGCTTAATTTCGGCTCCTGGAGAGCTTTCTGGAGTCCGTTAGACTGCTCAAAACTGACCGGTGGATACGTGGCGTACTCCGGATCTCCACCGTAACATGCTAGCTTCCTCGCGGCGCATACACTCTCAAAGTGGGTCCAGTCGCCGGCCGCGAGGTTCAGGCGGAATACGGCGCCGCGGCTCGAGCGTAGTGCCTTGTCGTTGAAGGGGTCGCAGCAGCCGGGCAACAGAAACACGCCGTCCTGCAATAGGGCGGCAATGCAAGCTCGAACCAGTGGCCCTTGACAGAGTCGAACGTCGGGGACCGGTACTGACAGAAACAGGCGAAGAGCGATCCTCAACAGCCAAAAACCAACCCCAACTGAGCCTCGACCTGAAGTATGGTGACTCTGCTTCTTACAAGGACGCCTACTTCCAACAAGGCACAACAAGCCGAGAACCCCCGGCTTGAATGATGGCAGTAAGAAAACCGCAAGAACGTAGCATCGAGGCAAAGACCATTGAGAAGACGCGGCAGCAAGGGGGAAGACATACCCAGTTGAATGCAAGAGCGGTTCGCAGCAGCGTCCCTAGATTGCCCGGGTCCTGCACAGGGGCGAAACTGGTGTGGGTCATCTGTCAATCAGCAACATCACTGTAGCCTACTCTCTGTTGAGGTACTCAGGCCTACAGGAGAAGCTTCTTCAATTGTCTTTTCCTGCCAGATCTCGCGACTGTTTGCCCCTTCTTGGCAACCCGGCACAGTTTGGCTCACAAGACAATATCATCTTGCCAAGGCTATCCCTTTCTTGGCATCCACACTTCATTCTCTGTGCTGTTAGTCTGCTTTGATCGATGCAAGGAGCCTTGCGATGGCTTTATCACACCCGCAGCGTCGCAATAAAGGCTAGTGAATGGCAGACATTGGCAGTTCTAGGAATGCAAACATCCGCTCTTCCTTGTCTCTCTCATCGTTTTGACAAAAAAAGTCGTCCGCAATGAAAGGAAAACTTCAAAGTGCAATCACCCCATGATTCAGCAATACACACAAGCTGCTGATGGACCACTGCGCAAGATGTGATCCCCATACCCCAGACTGCTCCCCGCATCGTCAAGACCCAGCCTCCGAACAGCCATCAGTTACCCCCTCACCTGGATCCCATCCAGCGCCACTACATGCGTCGCGGTCGGGCACCACTCCTGGGGGGACATGTAACAACTAGGCTGAGAGCACAGCCCCGCCGTGCGCTCCTCTTCCCGCCGCCCGCTGCCGCTAGCCTCCCCCCCACTGCCGTTCTGATCCGCGCTGCGCCCCTCTGACTCATCCGACTGGACGTCGAGGAAAGATACAAAGGTGGCCGGCTTGGTCAACAAGCCCACGGCGTCTATTCGGTGCGCGGTTTCCACACCCGCCAGCTTGCGCATCACGGCCTCGTTCACGCGCACCACGCGGCCGGCCTGCACGCTGGGAGGGGGAGTCCAGCTCTCCAGCAGGAACAGCACCTGGATTGGGGGGCAGTTGGGGCGCGGCCGCTGCTGCGAGGCCGCCTCGCAGATCTCCCTGGAACGTGCAGAAAGGGGGGGGCGGGGGTCAAGCTACCCCCAAAGCTTAAGTGAGAGGTGGGGGCATGGATCGAGCGAGCGGCATTGAGGCAAGGAGTGTTTTGAACGTGGGGCTTTTACTGTGTTGAAGGTGGGGCTTTGACTGTGTTGAATTGGGTAAATAGTGGGCTCCGGAGAAACGGAGCGCCCTTGATCGGTTGCTTGCGCTAAAGGCAACTGTTGCCATGGTGGAAATGCAGACAGAAAACTTCTTCAAAACCCCCCTCAGAGGACTTACCAAGTCCATAAAACGTTCCATCAGGCCTGGCAACTCATGGTTGAAAGTGTTTAAGTACAATTGGTGAAGAAAGTGAATGTATCCTTGATGCCACCAATTGCACCTTGAGACACGGTGAAGGCCGTAGCGCTCACCTGAGCGGCGTTCCCCCCACCACGAGCACGCTGTTCGCAGCGTCTCGATAGCTGCGGCTCTGTCGCACCTGAACGCAATGCCGAATGTAGGCGTTTGCGGGGCTTGTGATTGTATGCACATGCGCAGGGATGGTCGGGAATGCGGGAGCATTGGCGTCAGGAGACGCAAGTTGCGGCTGGGGGGCCGGTGGCGGCTGCTGCTGGCCCACAGAACACACCACCCCTCCACGGGGCAGCTTTTGGCAGCGCAAGTCATTGTTGGCATGCGGAAAGAAGAGGCGCTGCGCTTGAAGCAACGACCCTGCGCGATGGCTGCACGTCAGTCGGGGTGGCCATCGAAACGGGTGCCTGCTTGCAGCACTCCAGTTATTGACGGGTTGCGATGTGCTGGGTGGTTGCCGTGAGGTGAACACCGGGCTCGTATCCAATGCCGCTGCCTCCGCCAACGATATTGGTGGTGGCATTGTCGTGTATTGGGGGGTTTCGTAGGGGCCACCTCTGACTTGTGACCACTAAAGTCTAAAGAGACAGACAGGCAGCCATGCCCAACACGTCCTAACACTCGGAGTCGTACGTAGTATCAGCTTGCCTTGGGCAGCTGAGCAAGGGAAGAGGAACCAGCAGCTAGCTAGCCATGATCATGGATCAGAACGTCATCATGGATCATGGCAGAGGCAGCTAGGCAAGCTGAGCTTTGAGGCCTGGCGACCGTCGATGCATCGGGCTTCTGGCAAGAGGACATCGGGCGGTCCGGATGGGAGCAAGATACTTCTTGAAGTTCAAGGTGGACGGTCACAGAGGACTTGGAATGTACTTAGGCACATATATTGTCGCCACCCTAGATACACAGACCAGATGCAACATGCATTCTGAGCAGACGCCGCGCAAAATCCAGGACCAGAGCGCCCTGCGAGTCTCTCAGGCGGCAAGGTGGCAGGGCGTCTCTTTCTCTGAGACTGATGGTCGCGCCAGCAATGCTGTTGTACTATACATGACCCTGTGCTGCGCTGCAAGGAATTTTGAGGATCTGAAACCTTTTATTCGCTGGACCGCCACATTTCAAGATTTGGACTCAAAGGAGACGGCATTGTTGGCGGCGAATGGCCGTTGCTCGTTGAATCAGCGTGGCGCTCGGGGGCCACGTCACCACCACCTCCTGCCGTGGAAGTTTTGCTAGCAGAAACTGTCTTCGACCGCCCGGAATTCTCGATGACTGGCCAGACGAGGGCGGCGCCGAGCCGCTCAGTATTCAGTAAGTATCCATTCCTGGATTGTCAAATGTAGCCACACACAGTGTTTCATGTTTGTTTTTCCAGGATATGAGTGGTGCTAGTATGCGTTCAGAAGTCTACTTGTAAGGAAGAAACAGTACAAGCATGGTCAATCTGTAGAAGTTCTAAGAGCACATCCGTCTCAGAGATGGTTGACTATTGGGCCTATGCGCAACTCATTCTGCATCTCAGACACCGTCTGTACGGGCACCTGTACCTGTCACTGCCAGTGTGCCAGTCCGATCATCGCACAGCGGTGCTTGGCGCACTTGTGTTCGCCACCACTCCTGCGAAACAGCAAGGCTTGCCCACAAATAGGCGCTCTGCTGCACAAACCTCAAAGCTCATCTTTACATCTTCTCCTGGAAGTATCTTTAATTTTCTTAACACTTGGAGTTGAGCGTACATTGCCTTGTGCCCACGACACCACCACATTAGGCGCCACAGAGCAGTTGCGCTGTTTAATATGTGGCCATGTCCAAGCTCGTGGGCCCTTTCTTGTGCAGTTGGCAACATCCCATGGGATGCCACAGAGGAACAGCTGCGGCAGATCTGCGAGGAGGTGGGGCCCATTGTGTCACTTCGGTGAGGGGCTGCTCCTTGCACTACGTGCGGCAAATCGCCATCTGATACATTTCGAAGAGTAGCGCCACCAAGTGCTGGCTCAATGCACCTGCTTTCACTTGAAGAATATGGAAGCTTGAGTTTGACAAGAGGGCACGCAAAACATAAGCCACGCGCCAGACTTGCATTCAGCAGACAGTAGGGGCTGAAGATCTTGCAACTCCAGGCCATCATTTGGGAACTGAATAACAAGCCCCCATAGGGTGTTCATTTCGACTGAAGTGCTCGTTCAATCATCATCTTTTCCACAGACCTATCGAAGGATCCGCCAGAGATCGAGAGCCCAGATCAAGAGCCCATCATTTTGTCGTAGTGTGAGATCAGTACAGTGTCAATTGTGAATCAGGTGCAGTGGCGCCCCGTGTGCTGACACTGATGTAACAGCATGCGTTTTCTTCTCAGGATGGTGCTGGACAAAGAGACGAAGAAGCCCAAGGGCTTTGCTTTTGCTGAGTACCTCGACGAGGAGACGGCGGAGAGCGCGCGTCGAAACCTGCACGGGTACGAGATTCACGGCCGTCTGCTGCGCGTTGGGGAGCCCACTGGAGAGAAGCAGGCCGACAGGAAGGGGCATGAGGTGCGCGTGAGTGTCACCACAAAGTGCTTGCGTGTGAGAAAGTTCGTTTCCCACAAAGTTTGTACTTGATAGACCCAACATGAGCGGTTACATATGCGGTGTGTTGGAGCCTGCAGGGATTCAACGGAAGCTTCAGTTTCTTGCCCGTTTTTGAATGCGTTTTAGAATGGCAAATACTGCTGACATCCAAAATCCATACGACCCTCTGCCCATGAGTGCGAACCCCACTTCAACCCTGCTTCGTCTCCTCTTTCTAGAGGAGTCGAGTCCGTCGATCAAGTCTCTGCTTGTGGTTACACACTCCCCTCTTGCCCTCCCCCCCCGTACAGGCCCGCCCTCCGATTGACCTGCCCGACCCAGGCCCCCCTCTCGGGGCCTCAGCCGCAGCTGCTGCTGCGTCCACTATGGCGGCAGTTCTTGGAGGGGGGCAGTCTGCCCCCGGGGGCGTCCCTGCGGGGGACCCCCTGGCGGGGACCATGGCGGGCATGGGGCAGCAGCAGCTGTACCAAGTGCTGGCTACCATGAAGGTGAGGCGGGGAGGAAAAAAGGTGGTGGATTTGTTTGGGCACTCGAGAGAGCAGCATCCCAATATTGCTTCCTTGAGAGTCCTCACAGTCATTTCAGTACTTCACTAAGTGGAGTAGAAGGCAGAGTGCGAAGTTGGCACACCTTCTTTGAGACCTGGTTTTTCAGACTGGACTCAACAACGAGATAGTTGATGGCTAGCTTTGCAGCAGATCAACGGGTGTGCGCGACGAGGGCGAGGCTTGTCTGAGGCCGATTCTCGATTGTACAAGTGCTTAATAACCATAGGGGCGCCCAAGTTGTTGCGCACATTTCAGTTCCTGGGCCGCCTCTATTCCCGCCTGTTTCAGTTCCTGGGCCAACTTTGAGTTCGCCGCATTATGTGCCGTTTCGTATGAGGGACCCACATCCTGATAGGCGTCTGCATCAATCCAACCGATTATCAACATGAAGTTCGTCACCATCTCTCACCGTAGACGAGTTCCGACACAAGACTTTGTGCTTCTTTCAAAGCGCTCCCAATTGTGAACGCTGACGTCTGTCTCGCGGGCCGTCCACCTCCTATTTGGGTAGCAGGCTCGTAGGGTTCTTAAACTTCAAATTTTGGGCTCGAAATTTGAAAAAAACCAAGACCCGTCAGCCGGACCTTCGGCTGACCTCAGGTTACCAGGAATCTCGACCGGGTTGCACAGAACCGATGCCCCTCGGGCCGGGCACTCTGCGATCCGACTGACTTTTGTGCGGGACCTCGACCGTTTTTGGCACCTCCGACAGCTGCCTTATACTGGGCAATCTTGCCAAAAGAACATCTGCCGGAGCCTGATTAGGCTCGGGTCGTCTCGGTTGGATTCCGCTCAAGCGGAACAACGCTATGATCCTATCCTATGTTCCGGCTCGTCAATTCACCCAAACCTTGCATATTATCTGGGGTCACGAGCATCCTTGGCCCGTAACTGAGCACTAAATCCGTCCTCTGCGATGTGCGCAGGCTATGATCCAGCAGAACCCTGCACAGGCGCGCCAGATCTTGATGGCCAAACCGGACCTCACCAAGTCGCTCTTCTTCGTAAGTGGCTCGGGCTGAACTCGCTTCTCTGAGCAACGCGTTTTGCATCTGAAGGCCGAAGCGAGAAAGCAGCTTGTGGAAGGAGAAGCCTACTGTTCGAACTGTTGCCGCTATCGCTCCTTGCTCCGATCGACTCTGAATCAAGATCGTCTGCAAAGCCGAACGCTTTCAATCAACAGTGCGAGGATGCGAAGCCTGTGGACGAGTTGGAGGTCTCTGTTCAGACGTTGCGTCCAATGTCATCCGTACGATGATACAGTGCGCTGAAAGGAAACGAGCAGGCCTTGTCAGCAAGAAAGAGATCTGACCTAGGATTCTCGGTTGTTGTGATTCTCCGCTTCATCTCTCATCTTTCCGGGCTCGGTTCTCCCCCAAGTCATCCATATTATTTCATCCTTTGAGGGAGGCCGTCTTGTTTTGGGATGGCCGGACGAAACTCAGCCTTCGACGTCCATCTCCTCGCACCCTTTGGCTAACCAAATCAGGGCCTTCCAGCGGCTTAGGCTTTTCATCGCTCTTTTTGCACCCTTTCAGGCGCAAATCTCTCTCGGCATGGTGAAGCCCCCCCCTGCCGCGCCTGCTGACCCCACACCCCCACCGGCACCCACTCCCCCCCTCCCTCTCCACGCNCNCGCNCNCNCNCNCNCCNCNCCNCCNCNCNCNCNCNCNCNCNCGCNCNCNCNCNCNCNCNCGCGCGCCNCNCNCNCNCNCCGCCGCGCGC